CAACACGGCGGAAGAGACTCTTGGCCCATTCTGGAGTATTTCCTCCACCTTAGCGAATCATTCGATGGATTTAAGCTGAGTAAACACACTGTAGTGGACATCCTAAAAGGGGGCTCTTAGGAGGAAGACTATATAAAATTAAATTTGCACTTCCATTCCATTTTTTTTGAAACAGCATGTGTTTATTAGGAAATGGCGGGCAGCCAGTATATAAAAGTCCTGCATCGATTTTTCTCACGTGATTTCCGCCTATGTCTAGCCATCAAAGCTTGTTGCCATTATGGTCTAACACAGGAAAACAAACAAAGATACTCGAATACTTCCTCGTCGTTGTGATCGTCCGTAGTTACGAGACATGATCCTGCCAGCTTAGGTCTTTTCCGACGACTATCTACGTTCCGGGGGCGATTTCTACATTAAGTTATTCAAAACTCAGTTACCACAGTAAGTGACCATGAGCAGTATCCTCCGAATAAAAAACATTTTGTAGAAGAATGTCAACACCTAGCCTGCGAATCATCGGTAGCTGGTCCGTACACGCCCACTGTCGTGATTACCGTGATGTAGTTAGCTTGCGGCCTTTTTTCGGATGACTCGACTCTTTTATCTTATTCTCAAAGCTTGATTTCTTTGTTATTCCCCACACTGCAATCATCGGTAGCTGGTCCGTACACGCCCATTGTCGTGACTACCGTGATGACTCAACTCCTTTATACTATTCTTAAAGATTGATTTCTTTGTTATTCCCCACACCGTCCCTCAATTTTAGAGCTCTACTATTTCCTCCGGCCTTCTGGATTTTTGTGTTCCAATATATCATCAAAACGGATCACTGTCAGTTGAGATTGAATAAGATGCGATAGTAACAAGAGTATTCCTTTCATCACTATGTGACTACATCAGTCACGGATATTGTTGTGGCTGGTTTCTGCTCCAGTCATTGTGTATCCTCATTCTAGTGAGTGTGGCATACTATACATATATAGTCAACATTCTAAAAGAAAATCATAAATGACGTGAACGAGTTTGTTCCTATTGTATTCTCATGTATAGCTTAAACAATCTTACACCAAACTACACTGTCACTATTGAGAACGAACAGGTTTTTTCTCACGCTGTATGCATTTCAGACGTAGGTATGGAGTCCAGTACTGGCTTCACAACCGTGCACGAGTACTTATGTGCTGGAATCTGGCACCCTGCCATGGCCTATACCTTAGAAACCTTATGAGTGAAGGTGACCAGTGGTTATTAGACTTCCTGGCATGTGAAGCGGTGATATGTCAGTTTGTTGCCAACGCTCGAATGAGTTGTCGCTTAGACGAAAAAGCATTTTGCTTAAAACTGGTAAAACTTTGCAGTTTTATCGGGAAAACTGTCATTTTGTCAATCTAGACTGGCTCCTATAGAGAGGTACGCACCAGTAGAGACACTGCTTGGAAGACCACTGTATAGGGGATGCGTGAGTCCACGCTACTTCCATCGCTTCTGCTGCTCCTCTGCTCGAATGGTAGAGTCCATATCTTTAAATTCATCCCTGTCGGTATCACGTGATATTTACGGGGTTTGTTTAGGCGTGACATATGACACCATTAGCAGACAAACGTTTCCATGCCGAATCTTTACTGTACCATGCACAGCGAAGGTCACACCAAACCAACTGTCTGCTCTCAGTGCAGAGGAAAAAAGTTGTTCCCACATGTTTGGATGGACTAGTTGGGAAAGTCGTCTATTGAACGCCAACTTTTCACGTTTTAACCCGTTTCGCGACTAACGAGAGTGTACTAAACGGGATTGCACTCTACAAGCAACAAGCATACTACCCGCATGTTTCACAAACACAGCTTTTGTAATTCACTCGAAGAATTTCAAGACTGAATCAAGAAAGCTCACAGGAAGTTCCAAAATATTTACTAACGAATAATGGTGCTAGCCTGCTTTATGCTGATCCTCTCAGGAACAAGGATGAATCAGGTCTGATTACGTCCTCAAGTCTGGTCGCTACTGAACAGCAAGTGGCAGCAAGTTCCCAGCTCAGCGCCCTAGTGCTCCTTTGAAAAGGTGAATCCTACTGAGAATGAAGGGTTATTTGTTTTCAGACAGGGAGGTTTAACGGTGAGCTGCGTCTGATTGGAGACATTGATGGGATTTCTCTTCTCTTGTAAGAGAAGTCTTCATATTGAATTCAGTACAGCCAGTCTCTTCTAGCTCCGGACTGAGTAGAACGTGCATTCATCATTCTAAGCATAAGTGGTTTTAATGGTCGTTCTAAAACCGGTTGAATAGACCAAGTGCTCCAGTCTCATTTATGATATTCTTCAACCGTATGTGCTGTACAAAAGCCGCCTCAAATTACAGAAGGTACGGTATTCTAAATGTATCAGTCTATTCTCATAAAAGAGGTTCCCGTTACCCGTTAAATCCAACGTAATGTACAAACGAGAGCAGCTGGCCAATTTCCTGCAATTCGGGTTCAAATGGAACACAAAGTTGACGGAAAATTGTGGACAGTGTCTTATTGATGAGGCTGGATAGGAAGGTCAAAAACGCTTGTGAGCTGTCGAAGAGTTCTAGGCAATCGCTATGAGCGGCTGGAAGAGCAGGTGAAATGGCTGACACTTCAGGCGGGATACTTGCACCTTTTTGGTGGCTTGCATAAAGGCAATAGACAAGTCAAAAGGTTTATGCAAGGTTGGAGACATCCCGTGGTGGTCGAGTGAACAGGATCGTTAATGCCATTTCAGAGGCTTCAGTTCTCTCAACTTGTTTGTATGTTCCACCTTCTTTTAGGAGTTCCAGAAGTACAGATAAATAAATAAATCGTTCAGCTGTAAAACCCTTCCGGCGCCTAGGCGAAGGAATTACGAGGACTGGGATACTACCAGATTGTCCAAGCTTAGACAAGAGAAGTCGAGTTGCAGAGGTCGGGGTCGAACCACCGACCTTCCGGTCAGTAAATTCACGCTCTGACTACTGAGCCATCTCCTCTCTCCAAAAATAAAGACCCGAAAAGGAACTCTAAATTGGACGACGCGTAAGCAAGAGATGGTGATCTATAATATAAAAATAACAGGCCCAGTCGCCAAAAATGAATATACAAACTGCTAAGGCTGTTTTTAGAGTGAGATAAAATTTTGTACTGAATTACTTAACAGTAGGTCCTAGACCGAGTTACTTTATTTGAATTCCAAGGTCGCATACATGCTGAGAAGTGAAAACGGAGCGGGCAGATATGAGCAGAGAGGTGAACAGACAGATAGACGAACAGGCATCTCAATTAATTATACAAATAAGTAAATAAGTAGACTAAGTGGGTATGGAAAATTTTGAGAAGTACAGAGAAAATTCTTTCCCGCAAGTTAAACCAATCAAATCTAGTTATGTCAAGCCAACTAGGCTAAGAAGCAGTGTGCAGTTGTCTCACCCCTGTTGAAAGTCAGCAGTTCACGTCGCAAGAATCTCTTGGCTGATTCGAGCCGCGACTTTCAGATCAGCAGTTGAGTGCTACGACAGTCTGCCAACAATGACTGGTCAAGTGTGATTAGCTCATCTTTGGAGAGAGTACATACTCCCCATTTTTCACTGAAGCAGTTCTAGTCACGCACTATGGCGTTGTACGATTGCTTGATTGATAATCTCTACCAAATTAAAAAGGTTAAGAAGGACGATGAGTCGATGGCTACGCAGATTTCAGTGAACATGAAGGACAACCTATGGTTAAAGTACTGGAGAAGAATTTAAAACAACAGACTGTTTAATCCAGAATCGAACAGTCAATTCGGCAATGAGAGTAAGCTACCCGAGCTTGGTCAATAGGTACTTGAAATGATGCTGTCCGCTTCATTTATCCGGCACGATGTCTCACTGGAGTGTGACTTTAACTTTCAGGTTCAGCTGGGCTGCGTGAACTAGAGCACAGTTATCTGAGTTGGAACCATCGAATGGAGCATATGGTAGGCCAGTTTTAGTATTGTACACGAACAGTAGTTCCTAGGTACAAGCTGACAGGTTCAAGACACCGGTGGAAGTGAAGGAAACGGCTCAACATTAGTGCACATTTTGTGAGGAACTGCATCTCACCTTCACGTGCACGTCAGTCCGTGCTCTTCGGCGAATGATGAAGGTGCTTCTTGCAAACAACTGAAGTGGTAGCCCGTCCTTTTTCCAGACAAATTTACTCAAACTCATGCACAGGATGAGTTTAATTCTCGGATAACAAGTATGGAACATTGAATCCCCCTTTCAATCAGTACAGTAGGAAGTCAAACTAGTCACTAGAGCTGTCAGTATTCCGCAACATCGTCAAGGAAGTCACGCTTTACCCATAAAATATGTCATCTTATCCACCACTAAGCGAATATGCCTGAGATAATACCGTTATGGACAAGTCTCTAAGGAGAGTGGCCGAGTTCTGAGGTGCCCGCTCGGACATGCGCTCGAAAGTACGGTCGGACGAACGTACGCAAGCACTCGCGCACGTACGTAAGTCCTCTCCCACTGATATCCTACTGTCCCAGGCCTGTTTCAGGCCGTGCTTCGGAGTACATACGGCACATGATCTACCGCACTGATCAGTAAAACTTAAGTAATCTCATCCAAATCCATCTGGTATTTCAAACTCAGATGTAAGCTGCTAAAACGTTGTGTGAGAAGCCTTTGTACACACTAGCAGAAAAGCTTCCGCTTGGAAGGACCGAAGTCATTTAGAGAATAAAAGATGATGGTGTTCGAATGGCCATGGGGTCGTTTTCTATCATTCTCTCCTTATTACAACCACCTGTATAAAGCGGTCGGATTGGTTAGTTCCACCACAGAGGGTGTACTCAACCATGTAATGAACTACTGAAAACTCTCAATTACTGATACCAGAGTAGCTGCCGACACAAGCGCCTCATTTGTACTATCACATTATGTTATTAACGGCGCACAATTTTTTCGGTTATTGTTTCAGTGAAAACAATTGTCCAAACAAACTAGCCAATAGATTTCCTTTTTTGCAGTCTGAAACTGAAACAATGATGACTCGTCCCCAGAGCCTAGTGCAGCAGCAACCGGGCAGGGTCCAATTCACCAATGAAAATAAGGTCAGGGAGACGCCAACTGAGGTACATCGTCAACCCACCTCAGCAGAGATACTACTCAACGCGTCGTACAATGCTACTACCGGAAAATTCGAGTGTTCAATTCAAAAGGCTCATGGATTGTATCGACCTGGGCGGTCGGCAAAAGCACCTTGTAAGTGGGGTTTACCGTCAGTTTTGATACATCCTTTTTCTTTGGCTTAAATTTCGGTGGTTAGATTGCGTTCATTAGTTATTGATCGGATTATTGTTAGTCTGCTGGGCTAGTTTGACTGACGGTTTGCAGATCTTTCGTCACCAGTCAAGGAGACACAGTCAGTGCTCCGGCTGGGTGGGCAGTTCCTCTCTTCTGTCTGCGACTGCATAAATTTCATCATCATCATCATCATCATCATCATCATCATCATCATCATCATCATCATCATCATCATCATCATCATCATCA